GAGAGAAGGGAGTCTTACGATCCGGTCCTGAGAAATACCACACGGTATATATATTAGGTCTTTAGGGAAATCGCTAAGTAGCGAAACACAAGTACTCATATTTTCCTGAAATTAAACAAAACCAATCAAATCGTATAATTGCAAAAATTGTTTTTGTACTATCACACGCGCGCGCATTTTAAAAATTTCAAAAGTTAAAAAATTTAGAAAAATTGTTTATGAGGAACCAAAACATTATTTTAAGCGTAGAAAATTGTCGTCTCAAAAAAATGTTTGTTTTTAATAACTTCGTTTTAATCCTAGGGAATCAAAAAAACTCTTACATTGGTGACCAAAGTTTGAGAACTTCATTGGAAATTTCAGGAACCAAATTTCTAAATTGAATTTCTCGAATCTATGTCCCAAAAATGTGTTCTCAAAAAAATTGGTGACCATCAGTCCCACTCTCAGTTAGTTGAAAAGTGTAAACTAATTTTCTACCGCCCCTTGGATGAAATATCTTTAGAATTAGTTAAATATTTATAAAGTTTTAGATATTTTGTAAAGTTCCTGGTACTTCAGGCCAGTTTCATGTTCACAGATTAGATAATAAGAATTTAATCAATCATGAAAATATAAAGAATTTAATATTGTTTAATATACATAAAACCAGCCGGGATAGGGTTAAATTAGACCCAACTGTACAAAGGCAGTTTTGTCTAGCTAGAAACTATTAATCTTGGCATTATTGAAATACTGAGGTGGCAGTTTGGGCATTTCCTCAGCAATCTGTGACTTGCGATCACAATTATACATTCATTTTTCTCTTTCTCTATGTTAATTATTTGCCTGGCGGATGAGTTTAAAAAAGTATATGAAAGCAACTCTGTTAGTATAAAAACTGTAGAATTATAGATCATAATACGATGAATTAAAATTGAATAAACCGAACGCATCTCACTGTGGTTAGTTCAGGGTGGGTTATTATTATGTTATATTATGTTATATTATGTTTTATTAAATTATAATTATGTTATATTTTAGGTTATATTATGTTATATTATGTTTTATTATTTTATAATTATGTTATATTTTAGGTTATATTATGTTATATTATGTTTTATTATATTATAATTATGTTATATGTTAGGTTATATTATGTTATATTATGTTTTATTATATTAGAATTATGTGATATTTTAGGTTATATTATGTTATATTTTATGCTATAATTTACCAAGGTTGCATTAAATTATATTACCAATATTGAAATATTAAAAGATTTAGAGAAATGCATTTGATATATTTATGTCTTAAGAGATCTACACAATACACTTTTTCTATAAACAGCGGACATTTTTGTCAACATATTTTTCTAAAGTCGATATCTAAATATTGATAAATAGTATCATGTTTTCTTATGGTAAAGTAAAAGTTTTATCCTAAGAATTTAAGGATTTTTTTATTTAAGCCCAAATATGGCCACTTATTCTTTTTGATCATGTTCTATATGTAATAGTATCATGTTTTCTTATGGTAAAGTAAAAGTTTTATCCTAAGAATTTAAGGATTTTTTTATTTAAGCCCAAATATGGCCACTTATTCTTTTTGATCATGTTCTATATGTTTATTCATTATTTTATCTTAGATATTGATTATGTTGAAAAACTTTGTTTTGGTTAAAAATGCAAAAAGGAAAAAAGTTTGAAACCAAAACCTAACCTCTGTAAGACTACAGAGAAGAGATAGTAAGAGAAAAATGATAAAAATTTACATTTCTGCGGAAAATAAACATTTAGCTGAGAAGGCACCTTCTTCGAATTAATTTTACCATTTAAAAAAAAAATTTGCAAAAACAAAAAGTAAGTAAAATTTGATATTTAGTAAATGCCCTTTACCTTACAATAGACAAAATGCATTTTTAAATGTATAATTGCAAAAATATAGGAGGTGTGGAAAAAGTATAAACGATTCATTTTTACACTGAACTTTACTTGTTCAATGCTATAATTAATGATAAACTATGCATTGGGTTTTTTTTTTATTTTTAGCTGATTGGTTACATGAAAATTTGAATCTATGGGGTAAATCCAGTTAGAATATAGTAGTCCTCGAAACATGATTCAACAGTTAGGTCTTTGTCCAAGCAAGCTGACCAATCAAATATAAATTTTTCATTGTCTTCTTACAACCATTGCTTTTTAGTTGGCAATTTTTTCTTCGTAATTTTTTGCGAATTTTACTCTACACATTGATAGATTTATTAAAAAAATCAACATTTTTTGTAAATTTCGAAAATTCAAACTTTACGTAGATACAAAACAATTTCCAAGTTCTTAAATTTACAAATATAACAGTTTCTGCGAAATTTACGATCCTGGGTCTATGAAAGACCCAACTCAAGAGTAGTGAAAAACCAACTCGATCGGTTCTTCATAAGCTCAAGTCGAGCGACTTGAGTCCAGGGTTGAGCTTTACTTGGGTCTAAGCAGACGCAAAGCCCGGGTTTTAGTCGGGTTTAAGCTTTTAAAATCTCATCTCAGGTAAAATATTCCCCTTTATCCAGTCATAAACCTTCTTTGCTGCAAAAACGTGGGACCGATATGTTCAGTCGTTTTGACGTTTATTGTTTACAGGCACACAAGCCAAATATATATTTTGAGATAGATAGCAGCCTATGTTAAGGATGTAAAGAAATATAACCCTGTAAATTTATTCAGACCATAACACAAAAACACCAATCTAGGCCTCAGGTTGTATCTAAAACTTTTAGGAAAAATAAAAACCCCGGTTCACAACGATGCACTTGCATGCTGTGGTGTCTATTTTTGTCCCATTTAAACTTTTTGTCAGAATTTTCAAAGTTATCGTAAACAACAGATTTTGTTCAGAAAAATACATTTTCCAAACTTTACCAGTAACAAAAAGTCATACTGCAGATTTGTAAAAAGATATTTAAAGCTAAGAATGACATAGTCTTCTAAGGTTAAAAAAAGTATCATTTTTCTTTTTCTTTTATAATTTCCCGATCCCATCTTTTAAAAATGTTTCAAATTGGCATTCTTCAAAAATGATATTTATCAATCTTTAACGTTGTGACTTTAAAGGGTTAAATTAACTATGAAGAGAAAATGTATCTACATGGTTATTAGTTATGACGGGGCTTGTGTTTACATTGCTTGCAATATCTAGATTTACTTTGAAACTTTGTTATTTAATTTAATTGTTTGGAATTTAATAATCATGCCAGCAAATAGTTCTGTATATCTATCTATCTATCTATCTGGCTATCTGGCTATCTGTCTATCTGTCTATCTGTCTATCGGCTATCTGTCTATCTATCTATCTGTCTATCTGTCTTTCTGTTTTTCTGTCTATCTGTCATTCTGTCTATCTGTCTATCTGTCTATCTGTCTATCTGTCTATCTGTCTATCTGTCTATCTGTCTATCTGTCTATCTGACTATCTGTCTATCGGCTATCTGTCTATCTGTCTATCTGTCTATCTGTTTATCTGTCTATCTATCTATATATATATATATCTGTCTATTTGTCTATCTGTCTTTCTGTCTATCTCTCTATCTCTCTATTTATCTGTCTATCTGTCTATCCGTATATCTGTCTAACTATCTATCTGTCTATCTGTCTATCTGTCTATCTGTCTATCTGTCTATCTGTCTATCTGTCTATCTGTCTATCTGTCTATCTGTATCTATCTGTCTATCTGTCTTTCTGTTTTTCTGTCTATCTGTCATTCTGTCTATCTGTCTATCTGTCTATCTGTCTATCTGTCTATCTGTCTATCTGTCTATCTGTCTATCTGTCTATCTGTATATCTGTCTATCTGTCTATCTGTCAATCTGTCAATCTGTCAATCTGTTATTCTGCCAATCTGTCCATCTGTCTATCTGTCTATCTGTAAACATATAAATCTGTCATTCTGTCTATCTGTCCATCTGTATATTTGTCTATCTGTCTATCCATACTGACAACTCAGAGTAATTGCCAAGGAGTTCAGAAAAGTTTGTGCAATTGCAATTTGAATTTTAAAACTCGAATCAGTTTAAATCTGAAATACTAAAATAATGTACCTTTACATGAAGAATTGTTTTAAGTTTACTTCTTCGATTTTAACTTTGCATTATTTAAAACTCAGAAACGGAAAATGATATAGTTAAAGAAATTATTTAAGCTTGAAAAGATAGAAATACTTTTAAAACGAATGTTATTTGGTCACAAAATAATTGTTTTTATCCAATTGTTTTCATATATAAACAATTAAAAATTTTGTTTCGTTTTCTTTTTTTTTAAGCTGTCTGTAAGTGAAATCTTTAATGTCTAATACTTTTAAATAATTTAGGCTTAGTTCAGGCTGCTTGATTTCAAAAGCAACAAATAAAAATTGGAAAGGTTAATTTATCATTTTTTTCTTATTAAAATGAACTTTTTTCTTCAGACGAGTGTTCACAAAAATATAAAAGGGGGTATTTGTTATACCTACTCAAAATAGTAAAAAAACTCATGACAGTTGGACTAGGGCCGGACTAGAGATATATATTACATTTCTTTATTTCCTTTATTTCATTTTATAATTAAAAATAACATGTAAATGTCTAAATAAAGGCTATACATTTAGGTTAAGATTGATTTTTTTTACCATTTTAACGAACAGATGTAGCCCACAGAAAAAATCAAAACTAATATTAAAATAGAATTTAATTTTTAAAAATTACCTAAAGCAGAAGCTATTTCTTTTGTTGTACTGTCATCATTATTATCCACCAGGAGCACTAGAATATACCATAATTAATTATTTCGAACGTCAAAGACGAACTACACCGTGGAGCACCCTGCCCAATAAAATTGCAGAGAAGGCGTTATGTCAAGTACCGTACTCACTACAGGCTGGTTGGAGTAAACACTAGACAGGCCGGTATTCTTAGGTCAAGTACCGTACTCACTACAGGCTGGTAGGAGTAAACACTAGACAGGCCGGTATTCTTAGGTCAAGTACTGTACTCACTACAGGCTAGTAAGAGTAAACACTAGCCAGGCCGGTATTCTTAGGTCAAGTACTGTACTCACTACAGGCTGGTTGGAGTAAACACTAGACAGGCCGGTATTCTTAGGTCAAGTACCGTACTCACTACAGGCTGGTAGGAGTTAACACTAGCCAGGCAGGTATTCTTAGGTCAAGTACCGTACTCACTACAGGCTGGTTGGAGTAAACACTAGACAGGCCGGTATTCTTAGGTCAAGTACCGTACTCACTACAGGCTGGTTGGAGTAAACACTAGACAGGCCGGTATTCTTAGGTCAAGTACTGTACTCAACACAGGCTAGTAGGAGTAAACACTAGACAGGCCGGTATTCTTAGGTCAAGTACTGTACTCAACACAGGCTAGTAGGAGTAAACACTAGACAGGCCGGTATTCTTAGGTCAAGTACCGTACTCACTACAGGCTAGTAGGAGTAAACACTAGCCAGGCCGGTATTCTTAGGTCAAGTACTGTACTCACTACAGGCTAGTAGGAGTAAACACTAGCCAGGCCGGTATTTCTGAACTCATGTGTATATGCAAACAACCTTGTTATATGGGACAATCTGTACATGATAGAATAAGAGAAACCATTTATTGTATTATTATCATATATATATTTACAAAAATGTATATCTTTGACTGAAAAGTGAACAAAGAAAACAATATATCCATCATCCCAAAGTTTTCTGAATATATTTTTTACTTAGTAATATAATCAGAATCCAATTAACTATCCATTAATAGCCGGCTATCCATCAGTAAGTTTATCCAACATGGTTTTATATTGTTAAGTTTAAGTATTACAGTGGTAGCTAGGGAATTCTTTGGTGTTGTGTGTATTACCATAAATATATACAAACTACATGCAATGTTTATAAAGTACTGTTCGTTCAGATTTCTCGGAATGAAGACACAATAGCAGTAACAAATTCACAGTCAAAAATGTGTGTTTAAAAATAAATGTGAGAGAATAATATACAGGAAAATATCATAAAAATTGAGTTAAAGATATATTTCTATTTTTCCAAAAACAAAGTTTTTCTGCTGCTCTAAAGAATTTCATTGAATAATGAATTATCAAAATGATAAAAATTTAAAATATGTATATATCTTGTGAAATAGCTTGCTAAAGTGTGATTGGAAATCCAAAAATACAAACTATTTAAAAACTATGTGATATCTACACATTTAAAAACTTTTGTATTTTAGATTTGTTTAATTTTGAAAAGGTTCTCTTTAAATAAAAGAAAATGGCTAGAAAATTAATTGTTCTAAAATTTCTTTTCTAAACGAGGAACTCTCCGATAAAAAGGAATTTGAAGGAGAGTGGGGTGAGAGCTAATTTAGTTCTTCTACTTGACATAGAAAATATTAATGTAATAAAAAGGAAAAGTTCTTTATGAAGTTAGTTTAGGAGAAAGGGGAAGAAAACTAGGTCGGCAGGCCTAAACAAACCTTAGGAGAGGGGGTTGCGGGAGGGAGGATTAAGGGGTCTTTAAAAAACATTATGGTTTTTTAAGTTTAGCTGGTAAGAGTAAAAAATTGTTATAATAAAAATTGTTTTATTATATAGATGAACTTTTTTAAAATTTAGATTACAACTCATTTGACTAAATATTAATAGGTTTCGAATAAAAATTTTAGATATTTTGAGTTTAAAGTTGAAATCCTATGGATTAATTTCAGCAGTGTTATATGTTACATTTAAAGAATATACAAGTTTTATCATGGCCAAAATATAAACACAATTCTACGTTATCGTTTCTCATGGTAGATTGTGTTATGTTTAGTGCACTTTGAAGTTTAAGTGTTTATCAAAATCAAATATGTTTCAGATTTAGAAAACTTATGTTGCAAATTTATTAATGTTATTAATAGATTTGTGTTTTTACTAATGATTGTTAGAACCGATTAATCATTGAACTATTTCTTACTTTATAAATTTGAACAAAAAAGTAATTAAACACTATTTTTAGTTTTATATAGTCCAACAGCTAAATTAGCTTGACAAACTGTTCCAACTGTTCTGGCAAAATCCTGGCACTTAAATTATATTCACACTTGTTGTGATGACACTGTGCTGCAATCAGGTTAAGTGTAAAAACAACTTTACTTTCTCTTGCATTTTTGAAACTTTATGCTGACGGTTTATTCGTAATGCAGAAATATTTCTAAAAATTCTAAGAATATACACTAATCATTAAAAACCATATCTATAAAAACGTAACAAAATGATAAATCAGTCTTTGAAAATGCCACTCGAACAAAATGAGTCCATGTATCAATGTATCATTGTATCATATATCCTTCTAAGTGGTCTCGCACAATTTTTTTTCTATTTACAAAATCTACAATTAATCATCTATGTATAGTATTACTGAATGGTTCATCCATTGAGTAGCAAAATCTATGTAAGGAGGAGACCCAACATAAGAATTCACATCAAAGTATGAAAAATTAGAGAACTTTTTTCGTTGGATGTTTTCTTTAACAAAATTGCCGGTGTTATATAATCGGGAAATTCATTATATCGCCATTACAGATTTTAGTGGTACCCGTAGTTCTTTGTGGTACCCAGTAATTCTTTGATGTAGCCCGTAATGTAGCCAGTAATTATTTGTGGTAGCCAGTAATTCTTTGTGGTAGCCAGTAATTCTTTGTGGTAGCCAGTAATTCTTTGTGGTAGCCAGTTTTCTTCGTTGTAGCCCGTAATTCTTTGTTGTAGCCCATAATTCTTTGTGGTAGCCAGTAATTCTTTGTGGTAGCCAGTAATTCTTTGTGGTAGCCAGTAATTCTTTGTGGTAGCCAGTAATTCTTTGTGGCAGCCAGTAATTCTTTGTTGTAGCCAGTAATTTCTTTGTTTCCCCGTCGAATTAATGTAATTTTCATGTTAAATTTTCATCTTAAAATGTTTTTAATCAAAGTTTCTCTTTTTTATTTACTATCTCTCCTACTTTAGTAAATCAAAACTAACGAAGATAAAAGGGCACAAAGCGGTAAAGGTCTATTTTTATATTTTTGACATTTTTCTTGGATTTGATTGTTTTATAGATCTATGTTATCGAAAAAGGTTCGGATCCGGTCTTCCATGTTTATCTATTTTATATATATGTTTATTGTTTATATTAGTCTCTACCCGACAATTGCATTTTACAACACTTGTCCAACACATTTTTGTTTTCTTTCGATCATTTTTGCTTAAAACAAAAAAAATGTGTTTCTTAATTAAATTAACCCTCCATATATTTAAAGAGTGGTGCTGTCTGTCACCAATATATCTATATATCTTTATTAATGAGAAAGATAATTAGATTGAAAAGTGTTAATTTCTGATAATTTCCTTAATTATGCACTTTGTCTGCAGTATACATCCGCAGGTTACTTTTTTTAAAGAAACAACCATTTATCAATTTTCAGCTAGAAAAACATGGATATCCCGGACATCCTCAATCAGATAAAGGTTTATGGGAATTTGTTTTGAATAGGACTAAACATATAAATGGAAGGACTCTTGAATTTACGTCTACGGTCTCATTAAATCCATAAAAATTGTTCATTTATTTATTTTGATCTGGAGAAATACAAAAATTCAATACTTACTTTGAAAATCGACTACCACGCCGACACACAGAAGAAAGATGACAGATGCTATGAAAATGACGACCATGAGGAGCGGAAGTCGACCGTCGAAACATCCTTCGCATCGCGAGGGCTCGTGAGCGATTATTTGAACGCTCGCAGATTTGCGTAGATAGTGCTCGTTATCCGCATAACTCTGCTTACGCACTGAAATAATATAGATTAAGGGAAGCAAACATAATTTAAATATTTTAATGCCATCAAAGAATCAAAACGGTGCCTTGGATCTTACTCTTAACTTTAGCTTTGAAGAGGGGACTCTTATCCCCGCGGCCCCCCTAACCCCTTCAAGCCCCTCCAAGCCCCTTCAAGCCCCTTCAGGCCCCTTCAAGGTCAAGCAAAATCTTTTAAAGTAGTAATCTCAGTTTGTCTGCTTGAATGAATGGACGTCCGATCATAACTTAAGAACCCCTTTACCGATTGGAATCAAATTTTAATTTATGAATTCGGTTCTTAGCTTTAAAAAATAAATATTTAGTAGTTGATATTTATAGAAAAATTTTGTTTTCAGGCAAAGCTGGGTTTCCAAGCTATAGTTGTATTATAAATGTAGAATAATGTAAGCTTATTCTTATTTTGTTATGCCTAAATATGTATTCAGTTTTATCAAGGATAGTAATTAAAGTTGTAATAAAGTGTTATTTATATGCTTGTTTGTGTAATAGAATTTCCTTCATAACAAAAAGGTTTTTGTCTTAAATTTTTTTTTTGTATCGAACAAAAACTTGTTTTGTCCATAAAATTAGACGACATTTCTCATCTTGGCAGATATAAATGTAGAGAAAAGATTTAAAAATATATTCTAATTTTATAGATTACACGGGTTGGTTGTGAACATTGGCTGTTCTTATTTCATTGATTACATGCGGCGTACATGAGTTATGTGGAGATAAATTCAAGTTGAGTTTAGTACAATGTTCTCAAAGAAAAAAAATGACTTAAAAAAGTAAACTAAGAAAAAAACTTGTGATTTATAAACTAAATTTGTTTTATCAATCAGAGTTTGATGTCATCATGCACAAAGTGTTTGAGTCGAGAATTTTAGATTATTTTTTATCATTTATGGAACAAAGGAACTAAGTTTTTGCACAAACTCTGATTTTAAAGCCTTATATCTTTGCATCCTGATGTCTTAACCTTTGATATTTAAAACCATCTTAATATAAGTTTTTGGCCAATATTCTGCAGATTCATTATTAAATTTTTTCTACAGAGCAAACATTTTCTGAGTTTTCTTTTGATGTTCATATTTCTGGAAAAAAGTATAAGCAAGTAAAGCTGAAGTAATTAAGTATTCAGGACTTGGTAGGGTGTTTTGAAAATGTAAAACTGGTGTCATCAAATAGATTATCAAGTACAATAGGTGGGAACAGAGAAATGAATCAATCATACACGACGTCACAAGTGTCAAATATAACGAGAAAACGAAATTTTCTCACATTATTTGACATGTTTTCCAAGATGAAATAAAAAAGTGTAAAAACAGAAAATAAAGAACACATATAAATGCACTTTTTTAACTGTAAGATCAGCATTTTATTCTAAAATTATCATTTTTATTAATAGTTTTGTCGGACACAAAAACTGAATTGACACTTGTGACGTCAGAATACAGCTGTACTGAGAGTGTATACAAATTCTACGTTGCCATCTATTGTACAAGAATATTTTTGGTGTCATGCATATTTTCAGTTGAATTTACAAAGAATCACTCACTTAGAACAACAATTACCTTTTATCCCTGAAAGGCTAAGGGCCAGGGGACATTCCCCCCCCGCACCCCCTTAGTTTTTCCAATGGGGATATATTTTTTAAATAAATCAACCTTAAACTTCTTGACTTTTAGAAAAGAGTCATTTTTTTACAGAGTCGGTAGGTGTCAAGGAAAAATCTAAAATACCTCAGACCTTAAAAATAATTGAGCTATCACCCTTAAATGTTTTAAATCCTTCACCCCCCCCCCCTCCCCCTTCCCCATTAATTTGATAAGCTCAAATAAAATGAAGTCCATGCGTGATATAATAATCATGAAATCTATTAGAAAACAAACCACCCCGCTTATCATTGATGTACACATTACCCCTAGAAGTGTTAGGTACAATTCTTGGTGATTTTGCGTAATGCGTAAATAAGCTATCAATATTTATTTATTTATCTATGGTTAGTTTTGACTTGTCAAATTCATTTATTTATTTTTTCATTTTCAATATCTTATACCTATTACTGGACTATGTCAAAGAAACATACTACTCTTAAGTTTGATAATTAATGTAGGATATAAATCACAGGAACTTGATTTTGAGTCATATAAAAATGTAAACAAACCCTGCTATACCCGCTTCATTTTTCTAATTATTATTATGTTTTGCTTCCCACAAATAATGACTTGTGCCAATTTGAAGATATGATAAATACATTTTCCTTTGAAATTGTAGTTTTACACTTGATGTTAGAACATCAAAGTATGTATAAAATGTTATGAATTGAATTTCTCCAAATTAAACTCAAACTATCTATCTATCTATCTATCTATCTATCTATCTATCTATCTATCTATCTATCTATCTATCTATCTATCTATATATCTATATATCCATATATCCATCTATCCATCTATCCATCTATCCATCTATCCATAATAGACAATCTCATCCATAATAGATTTAATCTTAAATAGATCACCAGTCACCATTGTGAATCAAAAGCAAAGCTTATCTATTTAAGTTTAAATCTATTAAGGATGAAATTGTCTATTTACAATACTTATTCTATTCAAGATTAATGATGAGATTAATTGATCTAGAAAAAGGATGATATTGATCTATTATTGATTGACAATGATGATATATTTAAGATTTATTGATCTATTAAGGATAGCAATGATTGTCAGTGAAAGATATATCATTTTTTACTATTTCTATCAGAGTTTAAGAGATCATAAAAACTTAGGAAATAATCACGGAACCTCGTTCGGTTTATTCAATAAATTTTAAAATGTTAAAAAAATGAAAAAATATTTTCAGACTCAGTAGACCAAAATGAACCAGGATCTAAGTGGGGGCATCTAAATCTAAAGCAATGTTTTATTTTGAGACACCCTAATATATATATATAAATCATAGATAAATAAATAAAAATAGATAGCTTATGTACGCAAAATTACCAAGAATATGTACAGTCCGCGAACTCATACTTCTAGGGGTCAAAGTGTACTTCAATGATAAGCGGGTTGGTTTGGTGTTTTAATGGATTTCATAATAGATTGTAAAATAACTCAGGGAATGGAACTATTTGAACAACAATATTTCACTGTGCAATATATCATATTGACGAGAACTGAAGAAGGACATGAGAAGAACTAAACTAACTTAAATTTCTCTCTACAGAACTCATGTACACCACAAGTACTCAATGACATAAGAATAGCCAATGTTCACAACCGACCTAGTTAATCTATATAATAGGAATATCTTTAAAACATCTCTGTACATTTATATCTTTCAGGATGAAAAATGTCGTCTTATGCGCAATCTATCTTTATGATATAAATATGTATGTGATTCCATATTTCTAGCTTGTATTTAATATTGTGACTCGTATTATGTTGTTTTAAACTAAACATTTTAGAGTTTAATTGCTCATAATTGCCCCATGGTGAAATACGTCCCCCTCTCTGGATTATTATATTAATTAAGATAATTAAAAAGTACCTAACTCTTTCTTTTCTCCAATAGGAGCCCTTACTGTCCAATTATGTATCATTTGCACCCTCATTAAACTAATTATGTATGTAACTAACCAATCAAAATCAGAATAGATCAATTATAGCGCGCAGTTTCTGCTCCCTTGGGAGTATAAAAGGGGGTTTGATTTCTCCCCAAGTCCAGTTCAGAGCAAAAATTTCTCCAGAGTGAAATTGCGTGTGATTCTCCCTATTCAGGTCTTGAAGTTTTCTTTATTATATTTCGCTTTTGCTCCCCTTTTCTATTTCCAAGTTTAGCTTAGTTCTTTTTGATTGATTCTTTTACTCTGAAGGCTCGTATTCATGTATTGTCTCCCTCGTACTTAGTTTTTCAGGATTTGTATTGATTAAGGTTCCAAAAAAAATAAAATATCCTCTGTGCTTTTAACTTGTTTATTTGAGACCAGAACTTTGAGTTTAGATTGATTTCAAGTCAAGTAGAGAGTCACACAGTAGTCATTAAATAAATGAGAAGGATAGTTGAGCAGTTTGGTTTTTGAATACATAAACTAGAATTTAAAGATTTGTCATTTACTTACAAATATATATCTATTTATCTAAATTTGTAGGATCACTTGTAATTACTCCAACAGTCCCTTTAAGAAAAATAATGTAAAATTGTTTGAATGTAAAAGAGAATGAGGGGGATAATATATGGTTAATAAAGTTTCAACTAATTTAAATACCTGAAATTCAACAATTGAATTAAACTAAGTTAGGAAAATCTTGAAATAGATCTTGAATTAAATTTTACTGAAAACTTTTCTTAATCTTTTCCTGAATTCTATTTAATATTTCTTTAATATTTGTGTGAACTAAAAACAGGGTTTTTTCATTAGGAAACTCAGCCATCTGGATTTTTAATTAAAAAACCTTTTCATTCAAAAATAAGAAAAAAAACTGAGGAACTTTGATTCTAGGACACCATTTTGCTATTTTTATTCTTCGTCAACCAATTGGGTAGATTACATAGACGGTTGGGTAGATTACCTAGACCGTTGGGTAGATTACATAGACCGTTCGGTAGATTACCTAGACCATTGGGTAGATTACCTAGACCGTTGGGTAGATTACATAGACTGTTGGGTAGATTACATAGACCGTTGGGTAGATTACTTAGACTTTTGGGTAAGTTACCTAGACCGTTGGGTAGATTACTTGGTCCAGAATTGGATGAGTTCTTCTCCTTCCATCCTTCACTTTGATCATCACTAGATATAAGATAAAATCAGATTTTAAATTCAACATTTTTCCTAAGACGTAAAAAACCAGATATTCACTTACGAAGAATGAAAAAATATTTTTGAAATAAGTATCTACCATATCTACCATCTCTACCATATTTAATGTTTTTTTAATCATATTTTTTTTAAATGCAATAAGAAAAATACAACAACGTTGTTTGATATTGAATATGTCTATAATGGATTGATCTAAAGTCCAAAAAATAGTTAATGTAAAAATCTAGTTGATCCAATCGTAATATTTGATTTTAAATATAAAAAAAACGCAAGAAATAAGGAATTTGGTGAGGATTGCAAAAAAAGTAGAATTTTGGGTTAAAAAAGCTTGAAGAAAAATTTAGAAAGAGAATTGTACAATCAAAACTTAAATTAAAAAAGTCGTCTTCGATGTATTAATTTAATCGTCTGACACTTTATAATAGTTCTGATAATGAATTGACTTTAAGAAAGAATAGATAGAAGATGAGCAACATAAAGATTTCAGAAAAAGGAGTATGAGTAAAGATTAAAAGAAGATTGAGTAAATAGTTAAAGTTGGAGACAGGATTGAGTAAAAAAGAAGATGAGTAGAGACGACGGAAGAGTTTAGTAAAGTAAGGTAATAAGAAAAGATTGAATATTTGGAAGAGAAATTGATAAAACTTTGAATCTTTTTCCTTCTGATCACGCAATATTATAATAATGTCAATTCTTCTTCCCACATTATTATTTGTACTTTGTCATTTAATCCCCCCCCCCTTCCGTTAAAGGACTTTTTCCATCGAATAAGATTAAAACTAAANATTCTAGAAATCTAATTCATCTGTTGAGGGGAAAATTAATGAATTCTGGAAATGGGAAATGTCTCAAGTTTTAGCTTTTTTTCAATTAACACTTAAAGTACAAATTTATGCTGGTTCACATCGGTTCGAGAACAAATATAAGCAGTTTAAAGAGCCTGTAAGCGTAATTTCAAGTGACCTTTCAAGCACAGGTAGTTTTTTGAAACTTTTATCTGATAAAAAAATGGAAGATATATTGTGATTCCTTCTTACAATGCTTTCATGCAGTAGAAATGCGCGAGTCCATTTTTTGTAGAACTCAAAATTGTATATAATCAGTTTTCACAATTATTAACATTGAAATTACGTTTTATAATTTTTGTAATTAAAAATCCTGACTTTAAAAAACCATATATTGTCTTTTACATTCTTGTTTCAGTTTGCATAGTTTATATTTCCTACTTTAACCGAAGTTTATTTCTAATCAAGTTTCATGGAGTAAATTACTTAGAAACTATTTTAAAGAAGTTGAAAAACATTTTCTCAGAAGATTATCGTCAGCCGGTAAATTTAAATATGATGTTAAAATAGAACATTTTTTAATATCCCATTTCTAAAACTTTACTTTTTTAAGAAACTTGAAGATAGTCAATTTTAAATTTAAAACATTGATGTCACATTCATTCTTAATTATGCTAGACTGGTAGAGTTGTTAATCATTCATACCTATTCATAAGTGGGTATGATATTTCTACATGAACTTCAAAAAGGGCTTTCGGGAAAAATATCCCTTTATAAAAGGTTAAATTCGCTGATTTAGAATCCTTAAGACTTTTCTTTATTGACCATAAAAATATATTGGTTTAAAGAATTATACTTAGTATGTGTAATGGTGCACTCCAATAACATAAAGTGTGGACTTTAGTTTGAAATAAACTTCTCAATGGCAGACCTGTAAACTATAAACGTCAGAACTTATAGGATTGATAATGTGGGTTGGAATTTATGGTAACTAGTGTATGAGTTGAAATTATACTCCTGGTTAAACCCGAACCACGCTGCTTTAGATTCTTTTTGATATTTACTTCAACACCACAAAATCAGTAAATGCACTGCATAATTAGTAAATGCACAGCAAAATCAGAAAATGCACTGCATAATCAGTAAATGCATAGCAAAATCAGAAAATTCGCAGCAAAATAGGCCAGTGCACTGTAAACTAAGCAAATGCACTGCAAAATAAGCAAATGCATTGCAAAATAAGCAAAGGCAAAGGAAAATAAGCAAATGCACTGCAAAATCAGCAAATGAACCACAAAATCAGCAATTAAACTGCATGATCAGCAAATTCACTGCAAAATAAGCAAATACACTCCAAAAAATCCATTTTTCATTTGTTCCTTAAAAGTGGAGATTTTTTTCAGTCAGATTAAAATTTTTGATAATTCTCCGGTATGCCGGACAGACATTTGGATATTATTCCTTTACCTGAGTTTGTTACCAGGATGAGCAATAGGAAAAGCTGTCGCTTGTGTTAATGAGGCATATCCCTGTCCCGCTATTCCATTCATTACTCCTTGTCCTACTACTCCATTTATTCCACCTTGACCTACTGCGGATCCATTGATTCCGCCTTGTCCTGCTGTTCCATTCATTCCTCCTTGTCCTATCGTTCCATTCATTCCTCCTTGTCCTGAACTTCCATTTCCTTGGCTAAAAGAATAAAACATAATGTTACTGAATTTTATCTATTTATAAAAAGCTGCACGGTTAATCATTTGTAAAAGGACTGTACGCGTTGAGTAACCTTCTATTTATATAGTTGCACGTCAGATTTACAGCGGTCTCTTTAAACAATGTTTAAAGTATTTCTTAGTTATATCTTGTCTATTATCTTGCGGAAAATTAAGTGTCAAGTCGCCGTGTAAGTGAATATAATTACGGAGTGTACACTATACAGTGTACACTGTAACCTTAAGTCTCCCAAAAGTTAAGACAGGATCGTTATGAAAACCAGTTTTGAGGCCGTTCCTTCTATAGATAGTGGACGTGTAGTTCACGTACTTTGGAGGACGATAATTTGGCCGCTAGATGTCTCCCGTGAGTTATTCATGGACGGACAGAGTTTCTCACGCCAGACGGTATCTGGATCATTAGCCGTGCATTAGTCGTACTGTGGCCATGATTTATTTGAGAAAAGGTGGCAGCACTAATCAAAGTAGCTTTCTAATTTCATTTCATAAATTGATTGCAGTGTCTTGTTTTTCAGATCCATTATGAATTTGAAATTAAATACAATTTCTTATGTTTAAGATAGTTTGCCGCGTTCAAATCAAATTCGTAATAAGCTTTCCCTTTTTTCCGTCGATAGGGGTCGCATATGATATATGTGTTTATGGTCAGACAATACTCGGACACTGATAACTCGTGGTAGAACGCGTTTGAACAAAACACTATTTCTCCGTACATTTCACGACCAATATAGGAGTTGTCGACCAATGTAGTTTATGGAAGGAACGGCCTCTGGAATGATACAATCGTGCTAGATTGCTAATTAATATGAGGCACTCATTTAAATTGACTAGAATCGAGTTAGAGATTTATATTACATTTGCAACGCAAATTAAACCTTATTGTCTTGGCAACTTAGTTTCTTGTTGTTTATCGTTTCCTATTATAATGGAAAGGGGTGGTAACGTCTAATGAATTCCATTTAAGAGCTATAATATGTTATAATATATTCTTATTATACCCCCACTCTTCCTCCTCCCCTTTGTTTATTGATTCATTAATGCAAATTAGGTTAAATGTCAAGCTTTTCTTATAGTCCCGTAATTCCTTGTTTATTCACTAACATGCATTTTCAGTAAATTTGTTTAGCTTATCGTAAAAGACAGAAATATGCTTTATATTTCCGATTCTAAATTTATTATTTTATGTTTTCAGGGAAAGTGTCTGGAATTGTGACCAGTTTACCAATTATTGGTGGAATCACAGCATGTGGGATCTTCCTTCTTATAGTTTCTATAATTGGTCTTATTGGAGCCATGAGACATCATCAGGTTGCTTTTTTTTTCTTCGTGTCTTTAGGTTGCCCTGAAAAATATGAGTGCTAATTTCATGATAAACCTTGTTTATTAATGTTTTGTGCATTGCCTAGGTTACTGTCTGTTTACATTTTTAATTGTTTAGTCGACGTTGTTTGTTTACATTTTTAATTGTCTAGGTCACGTTGTTAACGTTTTAATTGTCTAGGTAACATTGTTTAATATTTTTTTTGTCTAGGTGTTGTGTTTGTTTATTTTTTTTAATTGCTTGGTGCCGTTGTTTGTTTATATTTTTAATTGCGTAGGTGACTTTCTTTGTTTACATTTATAATTGTCTAGGATATGTTATTTGTTCAAATTTTTAATTGTCTAGTTGGTGTTAGTTTGTTTACATTTATAATTTTTAAGTTACTTTGTTTGTTTACATTTATAATTGTCTAGGTGATGTAGTTTGTAAACATTTATAATTGTTTAAGTGATGTTTTGATTTACATTTTTAATTGTCTAGGTGACGTTGTTTGTTTACATGATCGTCCTGTTCTGTATCTTCATAATCCAGTTCTCTGTATCCTGCGCTGCTCTTGGAGTAAACGACAAGGATGAAGAAGTTATTTTGAATATGGTAATTTTATTTTTCTTCGGTTGGTTATAATAATATAATAAATCAAATGAAACGATCGTTTAGATTGCTTTTTAACTGTTATTTTTACGAAATTTTCCCAATTGGACCTGTTAACGATTGTAAATTGCTGTTTTTACGTGAAGCCTTTTAAATACTTAGTCGTTTTCATTGAAATTGTTCTGATGTGCGCTCTAATGCCACCATTTCTAATGAAAAGTTGTCCCGAATTGCTCTGCATCAATAAGGAATAACCAGTTATTAATATATATTTCATAGTATGAAAATGTAAGCAAAAGAAGTTCAATTTTAACAATTACAAATTGAATTATTTTCTTTGAACTCAGGTTTTAAAAAAATCTTACTTAGGGCTGAAAAATTGCTAGTAAACCTAGTCTTTCAGAGCTGGAAAACTGATTCTAAACCCCGACTTTCAGAGCTGGAAAACTGCTACCAAACCTCGTTTTTCAGGACTGGAAAACTGTTACTAAACCTCGTGTTTCAAGGCAAGAAACCTGCTACTAAACCTCGTGTTTCAGAGCTGAAACTGCAATTAAACTTCATGGATTTGGGATGGAAATCTGCTAATAAACCTCATGTTTCAGGGCTGGAAATCTTCTACTAAACCTCGTGTTTCAGAGCTGAGAAACTGCAATTAAACCTCATGGATTTGGGCTGGAAATCTGCTACTAATTCTCGTCTTTCAGGGCTGGAAAACTGCTATTAAATCACGTCTTTAAGGACTAGGAAAATGTTATTAAATCTCGTGTTTCAAGAAAGGAAAACTGCTACTAAACCTCGCGTTTAAAGGCTGGAAACCTGCTACTAAAGCTCTTGTTTCAGAGCTGAAAAATTGCAATTAAATCTCATGGATTTGAGCTGGAAATCTGCTAATAAACCTTACGTTTCAGGGCTGGAAATCTTGTACTATACCTCTTGTTTCAAAGCTGAAAAACTGCAATTAAATCTCATGGATTTGGGCTGGAAATCTGCTAATAACCTCTTGTTTCAGGGCTGGAAATCTGGTACTAAACCTCGTGTTTCAGAGCTGAAAAACTGCTACTAAACCTCTTTATTTGGGCTGGAAATCTGCTGCTAAACTTAATGTTTCAGGGCTGGAAAACTGCTGCTAACGAGACTAAGCTAGATGCTGAGAAACTATTCGACTGCTGCGGACTTACTAACTCTACCAACCCTATGGATGCTTACAAGTAACATTTACTATGTATACGCAAGGTTTACTTATCCTCAAGGTTTACTATGCATAGTGCATACTTGCCGTTTACTATGTTTACTCAAAGCTTACCATGTTTACTCAAGGTTTACTATATTTACTCAAGGTTTACTATATTTACTCAAGGTTTACTGAGCTTCACTTTTTATACTCTAATTACTATGTATACTCTGGTTTACTAGGTATGATTAAGGTTTACTAGGTATACTAAAGTTTTTCCAGATTATTAAAGGTTTTAGGTTTACCAGTTATACAAAAGGTTTTCCAGATTTATTAAAGGTTTACTATGTATACATCAAGTTTCCTAAGTAAATAAAGGTTTCTTATAAATATAGGTTATACTGAAGGTTTTACGTACACCAAAGGTATTATGTTTAAAGTTTTTATGTATACTGTAG